GCTGCCGAGCCCTTCGGGCCTCAGTCTCCTGCGTGCCCTGGCGCCTGGGAGGCGCGTTCCCTGCCCGCTCGGCGCCCGGACGCGCCGCGGGCTTCCCAGTGAACCGCGGCAGCCACGCCGCTGAGCGCGGCCCCTTGGTGGGCGCGGGCTCTGGTCGGCCTCGCCGGCTGGGCAGCCGGTGGACTCAAAGCGGGCCTAGCTGTCTGGGGCCTGAGTATCGGCTTCCCNCCATCTGTGAATGGGGGGCTGGTGGCGCAGTCCCCACAATTCCGGGGGGGCGGTGGCCCGGAAAGGGCCTGCAGAGGCCCAGGCCGCCCGCTGTCACGTGAACCCCGAGGTGGCCGGCCGTTCTGGTCCGGCTCGGCCGATGCTCCTCTGCGCTGACCCAGAGCGGGGTTTGACCGGCGGAGACGCCGCGGCCGGAGCGGGCCCGCGCGCTGACCATAGGCTCTCCCCCAGGAAGCGCGCCCCGGGGGCGGCCGCTCCATTATCAATCCCTTTCCTGTGCCCTGGACACCTTGGGGTCCCTGCTCCCCGGCCACACTCACTTTCCGCTCACTCCCACCCCGTCCTTGCCTGTTTCCAGCGGAGAGCCTCCTCCCTCGGGTGCCCGTGACCCGCCCAACACCGCGGGCTGTGGCGGCCGGACCGCTCCGACGCCAGGGCGCTTGCAGCCCGTGCACCCCACCTCTAGGGGGCGCCTCCCACTCAATGTTTGGACCCAAACCAGGGCTCCCCAGAAACGTGCGGGCAGGGACCAAACGAAGGCTTGTTCCCTTGTACCCTGGCCGTCGGAGGTTGCCCGTCACCGCACCTTGAAAAGGAAGTACAGTTCTTCAGAAGGGGCGCATGAGGAAGCGCTGCGATGACCTTGGGGACGTTTGTCTGGCCGGGGGGTGCAACCCTGGTCAGCTCCATTGATCCTCACAGCGCCCTGTCCTGATACTATTATTGTCTCGACTACAACACCTGCAGGGCTAAGCCTGGCCCAGGGTAGGTGGTTAGCCCCCGGACGCTGGGCTCAGCTGCTGGTCACCCCTGACTGCTGTGGGGGTTGGCTTCTTTATGGGATTGCCAGATTTAACATCAGTCAAATTCGAATTTCAGATAAACAACAAATTTGTTTTAAAAGTGTATCTTTATTGATTTCAGAGAGAGGAAGGGAGGAGAGAGAGGGAGAAACATCAGTGATGAGAGAGTCATTGATCGGCTGCCTCCTGCAGGTCCCCCAACTGGGGATTGAGCCCGCAACCCCGGCCATGTGCCCTGAGTGGGAATCGAACTGCAATCTCCTGGATCCTGGGTCAATGCTCAACCTCTGAGCCACGCCCGGCCGGGTGATAAACAATTTTACAGTACAAGTATTTCCCAAACATTGCATAGGATATGTTTATAGCAAAAACTATTCACTGCTTAAAGTTCAGGTTTAACTAGGCATCGTGTATTTTATCTGATGACCCTGCTTCCAAATTTGCCTGAATTACTGTCTGGTCAGCAGCTTGATTTGTCCCAAGATGTGGGGCCTCCAGGTCCACAGTGTCCCACCTGCCTCTTGCTGAACTGAGCTGTGTGAGTGAGGGACAGGGCGGCCCAGTCACCACTGGACACTCATTGGGATTTGTAGAGGGAGGGAGTGACTCAGCTGTGATGGCCAAAGGGAGACCTCAGCCCTGGCTCTCCTGGGCTGATTTTGTGGGTGCAGAAGACCCCCCTAAGGGTGCACAAGAATCTATTTCACCATCTCCTGCCTCAAAGGACAGAGTCTGTGTGTTTCCGTCATGAAAAGCAGTGCTATGCTAGAATCATGTCCATGTGTACACCTCCTGTGCTTGCGGGACTGGGACTGGCCAAGAAGAGGAGGGTGCAAGCGGTGGTAGGCCTGTGTCCTCCCAGCGCGGCGTGCCTGTGGGCCTGGGCTGCGCCTGGTGGCTCCTGCACAGCTCCTGCTCTGCTGAGTCAATCCGGGCCAGGGCACTGTTGTAAGCAGTCCTCCAGGGGCGCATGAGGTGAGGATCACGTTGGGAGATGCGCCCAACTGCCTCCCACGCAGTTCTCAAGCTGCCCCGTGGTGGGCAGGGGAGCCAGGCTGAGCTGCTTTGCATTACCTTTTCACCTTCCTGTGTCCTTGTTGTGGGATAAGTGGCCCCCAAGCCCTTGGGCACAGCCTTTGTCATTAGGGCCAGGCCCTGCTGGAAGGACCTTTGGCCAGCTGGCACATGGCAGCTGTGAGAGCCAATGGCCTCATTGGGCGACAGCAGGGACCGAGTGGAGAGGAGGGTCTCCCGCTTGTTCTGTACCAATGGCCATTGTTACCCCCTCATGCTGGGGAAACGGAGGCACAGGCTGGGTAACTGGTCCACCGTGCTAAGTGGGGCTCCAGGCTTTGTACTCTGCCCATGTGACCCTGCACGTGGGTACCACTCATTTTTCCCTGCCAGAAGTAACCCACTCCTCCTTCCTCCCCTCCTCCCTCCCCTCCCATGACCCCTTTTCTAGGAGGGGTGTCACTGCTGAAGTTGGTGGAGATTGGGGTGAGGTGCTGGAGCCTGCCCGACAAGGGGGCCCTGCTGAAGGCAGGATGCTCTGTCCTCAGTGAGGGAGCCACTCTCAGGTGTGACCATACAGGCAATGTGGTCACAACGATGGGGACTTACTCTCCTTGGCTCAGTGTGGCCCAGGTCCAGGGGTAAAGAAGGAGACCCTTGGTCTCCAGAGGCTGTTTTTTTTTTATGTTGGCTTTGAAGACCCCTCTCCCCCAAGAGCCAACTCCCACAATGCCTCTGCCCCACGGGCACTCTCCCCCACTTGCCACCCCCCTCCATTCTATTTTCTAAAGATGAGGGCTTTTATGTTCCCATCTGATGGCAGGTGTAATGCATCATTTCCCACTGTTATTCTCATCTCCTTGGATCTCTCACAGCCCTGGGACGATTATGACTTCAAAATGCTGCAGACAGTGGTTTGACAGTCGCAAAATGCTGTGGAGGTTTTGCCTGGGTTACTAATCATTTCAGCTCTCAGGTCGGTTTCAAGAGGACTAACAAGGGATGAATTTATTTTGAAAAGATGGAATCTTTCCCCATTAATTCAGCTTCCAAAGGCCAGCTCTGCTTTCTTGCACACTTACAGCAAAAGGAAA